CATACAAAAATTTATTACGCACGTATTGACCAATCACATCTGAGTATGTATATGTAAGTGTACATACCCAGCCAGCAAAGAACAACAGTACTCGTACAATTATCATTAATTTTCGTATCCGGAAAACGTTCGAAAAAGATTATGTCGTTTGAGAGCAATAATTTTTTTTTATTTGCTTAAGCTCAACATTTGAAAGCATGCATGCGTAGTTTGGCAGTGGCTGAGTGTGCAGAGGAGTGTGCCGCTATTAATTAGCTTCCAGAAAGTGCTGAGCTCGAATTCCGTCAGGCGCTTCCTAATTTTATTTTATATCTTTTGAACCATGAAAAAGTATCTGTGAAGTGCAGAAGGAAAGCGTATTGATAGGAAAATTCAATCTGACAAATTTCAGAAAAAACAACCGAAAACGTATCCTTTTCTCCTCCATTTTCGGTACTTTTCTGTGCATACATTTCTGCCGCATAGTTTAGTGGGAAAACGGATCATTAAAGTATCCGGTTTTCATCGACTTTTTTCTGTTTTCGGATAGGTTCTCGGATTTTTTGCTGGCTGGCTACGCATCCCAAGCATGCTGATCTGCTCGAGCGGTGACAACACACATATATACACAGTGCATGCCCTGTAGTACGGGGGAGCGACTACAGGACCTGATAAACTCCGTCAATTACACTGGACCACAAATTTCAACTTTTTCTCTTTACCAGAAACGCCGTTATGAAATTCTTATGTAAAATCACCCCCTGATTCCGAAAATCAAGGTTATTTGTAATTCTATGGTACCGTTTTTGAGATATTTGCAATTTACCGTTTTTGCAAAAAAAAAAAAATTTGGGTCCACTTTATCATATATATCTCAAGAACGAATTAAGCAATTCCAAAACGGTTTGAAGCTTTTAAAAGGTAATAAAATTTTCTATAAACTGTGCATACAACACTTTTTGCTAGGCCCTGTAGATTCAAAGATAACGAACAATCATTACCGATTTTTTCAATTTTTTTTGTAAAAATAAAAAAAAAAATTGTACTTTGCGGGGAAGGATCTCGAAAACCTTTTATTTTTTTGCAGATTTTTTTTTTCTCCCTAAGCTCTGTAGTATTACAAAAAAAATAAGCTATCATCGAAGAAAATCGATGCAAAACTACGTAAGTTATAAGCGATCAAATAAAAATACCCAGGTTGCGCAACTTCAATGTATGTACCTATACATACATACATATATTAAAGGTATAAAGTGCAAGTGAGATATTATCCGGATAAACGAATAACACCATAACAATGATAACACTTTTTCTTTAAATAAATCAAATAGTACTTTTAATACTCGAATTGTATTATAGTAGGTAGAGTGGTTGCATCGAAAGGAAGAGTGGTTGGGTTCGAAACCTGCTGTAGGCATGTAGTTATAAACATGTATTTCCGTCAGTTATGGGTTAGTATGCAGGTAGATTTTCAAAATTATAAGACACAGAAAATTTCTACATCTAAAACAGGTAGTATTTTCTTTTCCCGGCTTGTTATAAAAAGAAATCTTTCTGTCTAGGTAAGATTTGATTTTTTCAATTTTATTCTTGTTCCGAGTATAAATATGAGTTAATGCGCTTTGAAACTTCATAACATCTTCAAGGCTCGCCGGAGATAGTTCAGTTCATAAGTCTAATTTCAAAACCGTGATTTATTAAAAAAAATAAAATGAGTAAAAGGACGCGAGAATTTGAGTGTAATAAGGATCCAGATATGTTCTGTTTCATGTGTGGCCAATATACTATCATAAGGCGACGACGAGTGTTCTCAGATCATATCAAAACTTTATACTCCAAGTATTTTGGAATTGAGCCTAAAAATGCTGAAAAACCATGGACACCGAACACTTTGTGTACATCGTGTCGAGTAGAATTGATTCAGTGGGAATCAGGACAACAAACAAAATTTGATACACCAATGATATGGAGAGAACCTAATAGCCATTCAATAGAGTGTTATATTTGTCAAACAAAAGTACTTGGCGTTGGAAGATCAAGAGGAGTAACCTATGCTAGCGTACCTACAGTGACATTACCAGTACTACATTCAACGGCAGTTGCGGATCCAGTTCCATTGTCAACAGTAACATCTGAGTGCGGGGGATCAAGTTGTACTGAATTTCGCATGGAAAACGAAAGAAACGTTCTGTCCCAAGCACAACTTAATGATTGGATAAGAGATTTGGAACTATCCAAGGAAAAGGCCGAGATCCACACTTCTCGTATGCAACAATTTAAATTTGTGTCATCCGATGTTAAGGTGACATATAGTAGAACTCGTCACGAACCATTTTCCAAACACTATACCAAGAAAGACAGTATATGCTACTGCAACGACATCCCTGGCTTATTCAAAGAGTTTGGTCAAACATATGATTCAAAAGAGTGGCGATTGTTCATAGACGGCAATAAACTGAGTTTGAAGGCTGTATTATTGCATATTGGTAACAAAAAGCCTTCTATCCCGATTGCACATGCAGTAAATACAAAGGAAACCTACGAGGAAATGCAAAAAATACTCAAATTTATCAAATATGAAAAAAAGTTAAAAATATGGGTAATTTCATTCATAAATTGAACTTTTAACTCAATAGAAACAGAGCATAGCTAGATATTTCACTCTTCTTTATACCATACATACGTTTTGAGGTATACGTTGAAATTGCGCAACCTGGGTATTTTTATTTGATCGCTTATAACTTACGTAGT